CACATCCAGCCAGTGACAGTCAGAGAAACAGGACTACACTGGAAAAACAGGCCGATCTCCAGCATCTATAAATGGTTCAAATGTTTGTATACATCCTTCAGTAAATGTCCATCACCAAGTTCGACCACAGACTTTTTTAGCTATTAACTAGCTTCTAGCATATTATTCACCTAATAGTGGACTATTCTTCTTGGAAGATCATAAAATTAATATTGCTTGATTTTTAGAAAGGGTTCAGTTTTTAACCATAATCCCAATATATGGTTTTGGCAACAATTTCCATTAGCTTAATGTTAGCCTGCTTTTCCATTCTTAGCCAGTTTTGATGCATGTTAGGGAGGATTTGGATATAGTCCTCTTACTGTATATATTACATTCCCTGTTTGCATTGCATCAATACAGCACTATCCTTCCAACAACTAACCGGCCCGTAAAATGTTACTCCAGAAGACATTCATTTTAAAAAGGCTTCACTTTGGCTATTATATGTTGTAGGAAAAAGTATTCAGCTATGCAATCCACTTTACTAAAGGAAATCGAAGGTAATTTACTCAGTCATCACTTTATTATCTTTGCAAAGATGAAACACATATAATAATATACAGCTTGATGCTCTGTCCTACTCTAACTAGACAAAGATTATCTCACTAACTTAAAGCCTGCAGAAAAGTGTGAAGGTCTCCACATACAGCTAATCAAAACAAGTTACAGACAGTTGATGAAAATCAGAGTTCATGCAATCAGCTGGTTTTCCTTAAATAGAAAACTTTGAACAAAACTGACTGTATTGTCTCTGTAAAGAGCCTTGTGATGATATGTGTTGCGAATTGGTGCTATATAAATAAACTGAAGTAAATTGAATTGAAAAAAATAAAATTGTATGAATAAACCTTGAGACAGTGTCTGGCTTGTTATGGGAACGATTATTTTCTGTCCCAAACAAATAGTGAAACAGTAACTCCTCTCACTCAGACACTGTGTGACCTTGCAGGTGTAAAGGCTTGATTGAATACTTTTATAAAGTAAGTAAACGCAAAATATATGTAAGGGAAATTAATAGGACATTGAATTTTCCCTTCAAAGACATTTAAAGCATGCAATAGAAGCTTCTAACAAAGAGCTATTCAAACATTAATATGATATTTGCCATAAACACATATACAGTTTGTATATTTCAAGAATCTTGTCATTTTTAATCCATGAAATGACACTATATTTAAAAAAAATAAACAACAAGCATCCTGAGAGAATTTACTCCTTGGAATATATATTCCCAGATGAAAAAAAAGAAGTATAAAAAACAACTGTACTTTATTGGGGGAGTGGCGGACTAGTGTTTAGGGCATAGAGCTTGGAATCCAGAGGTTTTGAGTTCAAGCCCCACTCCCACAGACTGCCACTCTGGGTCCCTGAGCAAGACCCTTAACCCCACACTGATCCCCGGGTGCCGAATAATGGCAGCCCACTGCTCCACAAGGGTATGGGTGAAATGCAGAGAGTTTATTTCGTTGCTCTGTATTTGTGACAGTGTAATAATAAAAAGCTGGGGGGAAAAAATGTGTAGAAGATTTAAACAACCTTGAAAGAAAAATGTGTGATCAGAAAAGTAGCATGTAGTAGCTAAATAGAGCATCTGCCAATTTGTTTGTAATTTAATGATGATTTAACCCTGGATTAAAAAAAGATTCAATCCACTTTTTTTCTATGACAAGAATTTCTAATGTATTTGATCTAAAGGCACTTTACAGCCTCAAATCAGTCAAATTATAAAGACAGATTAGTTGAAGACTTTCAAAAAAAGGAGACTATCTCAGGAAACCTAGCTGATTATGGAGTCATGTAGTATCAGAATTAATTTGTTCTGGATGAATATGTAGCGACCATGGAAATGAAAAGTTATGTGTTACAGGAAGACATTTCCAGATGAGACAGGCTCAGCATGAATGGCCTTCTATTGACTTTTGGCTTTAGAAGACAGAGCAGACACATACAAAGGACTCACAAGCACTGATTCAGGAGTACTTTTTATGTGAGAGTAAAAAAAACAAAAAAAAACAAAAGGGGAATGGCAATAAAATCTACTTTAGTTGCCTCATTTTGAAGAGAAACAGCTAAACAAATGTTATCAGGATCAGTTATCAAAATTCAATACAATTAATAAGTACTCTTTTAAAGGGAAATTAAATGTTGCAGTAACTCATAAGGTTTTTGTTTTTTTTCAAGTGTATTCAACTAAAAGCTTGCTCAAAACTCAAAGTTGAAAGCATTTTAAGTCCCAAATTAATATTCACTATCACGTCTTTGAAGTATGTATATAAACTTCTGGCCAGAGCTGTTTAAAGAGCTGGGATATTTTCTGTCATGCTTCCGATAGGCCCAAGAAAAGCATCTGGCATGGTTCCACCAGCAGAGGTCTCAGAGTGATGGACAAACACTGTGAGACGTGGCAGGCAGACAACTTCTCAGTGATGGGCCAGTCCTCCAGCCTGACCTCAGGTCTGCTCCTCGGCCAGGAGACAAGAAGCTGTTCCACCGAGTACATCGTTCTTTGCATCGAGACCTACAAACACTCTTAACTAGTGTCTCTTTGAGACACAACTCCACCTGGACCTATAAAGACTATTTAAGGACATCGTTTTCAGCTTTGGGGCTACATGTAGCTGTTTGAGCTTTTAAACCAAGATGTTTTGTAGTTTTCTGACTTCCGAGATCAGTTAGATCGAGGACTGGGGTCACGGTGTTCACAACTGAAGGCTCCTTTTCCACAGGTAAAAGTTTATGTTTGGAAGCAAGGATCACAGAATGTCTTTATTTATTATGAAGCATTTTAAAGATTTCAAACCTGGTGGCACATGCAGTAATGCAAAATAAAACCCTGAAGGTAAAAGATTTAACTTTAACAAAGTGAACAAATAAATGCATTTTTTAAATATGCATCACCTCAGCTGCATTGATATAAAGTACCACCTACTCATGATTTCCTTCACATTGGATATAAAAAAATAGGTCAGCTGTGCTAAATCCTACTTTTCTAAGCCAGTATGTCTCTGAAGGTTCTTCTAGTGTTTATTTTTGATTCCTAGTGCCATCATTTTTCTATTAGCTTACATTTTACTTCATCCAAAGGGAAAATGAGACGACTGATGTTGCCACCAATGATGTTTGTGATGCACTGTATTTTATTTTTCAAGGTTTTCTTGTTTAGCTTTCCTGTTTGTTTTGTCATAGCTTTTAATTCACCCTGATCATTCAGCCTTTTCTCTAAAAGGCTTATTTAATTTAAATCCAGTGATTTATTTATGCAGTCACAGCACATAACATGAAATTAGACCAAAAAAAAAAAAAGAATGTAATTTATCATTGTTTACGGTCTGTCTCTCCTCTTGCTTAGGTCTATATTTGTTCATTGTTCCAGAACAAAAAGGTTTGGGGATTTTACTTTTGATGTCAATTAAAGGTAAAAAAACAAAACAAACAATCTCATAGTTAGTTGGAAACAACATTTAATTCCATATGAATTGATGTTTGAAAAGAATCAAAAGGGAAGTGAAATCCAAAGGGAAAGCACATGTTTTGTATAAATATTTGTTGTTTTGGAAATAAAGATTTTTTTCTTTTCATAAATTGTTGATGTTATTGCAGATGAAAAAAAAACAAAAACAAACCTGCAGCCCAACTCAAAATATCAAAGCTTAATAATTATCATACTTTTGATTACGACTTTTAATATTTCATTTGTACTTCTTTAAGAGTGAGGAAAGTTCATTTAATAGGAGTTTATAGGACATAGAGATACAACTAAAGATGGCGTAGTATTAACATTACTACTAAAAATACTACCCCGTCCAAAGTTACTTTAGTACGACGGAGTATTAGGGGCAGGCTAGAGATTTTTTATATTTTTTTTAATTTTGAAAATAAAGTCGTAACATTACAAGAATGAAGTCATCATACAACAACCCATTTTAGAAAGAAAGCTTTGAGCTCCTAACAGCATATGACTGCCGTCCAGCGCCACCAGACAGCAACCTGAGAACACTAATTAATACTGACTAAATAGATGCTGATGTGCTGAAAGATTTCCTTATTTGTCAAACCAGAGCCAAAGTATAATATCATTTTAGGGAAGAAAGTGCTTCTTGTAAAATACAACTTTATTCTCGTAATTTTAGGACTTTATTTTCTTAATTTTATGGCTATTCTCATTGTGATTTCACTCTTGTAATTTTAGGACTTTTTTCTCATAATTTTTTTGCTTTATTCTCGTATTGTTATGACTTAATTCTCATAATTTTACAACTTAATTTTCATAATTTTATGACTTTATTTTCATAATGTCATGACTTTATTTTCATGTTACGACTTTATTCTAATAATTTTAGGACTATATTTTCATAATTTTATGACTTTATTCTCATAATTTTATGACTTATTTTCATAATGTTATGACTTTATTCTCATAATATTATTACTCTATTCTCATAA